TTTTTACCAAAATGATCAGCAGAGAAAGCTCTACAAAACAGATATAAGAGAAAATTTTTAGAATATTCTTGCTATTCGTTTATGTGTAAAAATAAAAAAGTCCAGGCTTTTTTCGGCCCTCAATGTAGCAACTACAACCACATGGCGACAACAGCGCATGTATCCCGTCGCTGAAAATACGCTCTCGCAATATGTGAACAGTCTCAATTTGACCAAAAGTTACTAAATATTTCTTTGTAACTCTAAAGCATTTAAAAATGACGCGTATACATTTATTACTTCAACCTGAGATTAACTATCCTTATTCATTAAGAAAGAAAATCCTAGCAGGATCCTAACTGTTAGGATCTGAGATTCCTGGTAGGAGCCTTATATCTCAGATCCTGTCAGGAAATTATTAGGATCCTATAGGATCCTGGTAGGAAACAGATAAGAAATGCATAGGATTTTGTCTAGGGTATCATCGCTCCACTATTTTAAATCCATTTAATTTTTTTTATCAAATATCCTTCGAAAAGGTTTTTGGAGGGTTGAAATATCCAAAAAGGTATCATATAGTAGCATTTTCAAACTTAGAAAACGTTTTCAAGGACTCTGATAATCTTTCTAAAATCTGTCTTATTCTATTCAAAAATCCTTTCAAGATTGGTTTCTAAGAGAACACCCAGTTATTCATTGCATGACACATCATTTTTCTTCCAAAATGAATGTATGAAATGCAAGGTGTAATGAGTGAAGGGTATTTTTTCTGAAACTTTTGACGCTTGTGGAGCAAATCCTTTTATCGAATACTTAAAAAATGATTACTTTTTGATTTACAAGATCAAATATTTGTCAGCATTTGAGAATGGTGTTTTGGGTATGTCAAAGTTTTCTCTTTACTCAAATGATTTTCGAAAAAGCAAAATTTTTGAGATTAGTTCGAATATAGAGAAAGGATTTTTGAAACATTTAAGATTTTCTACAATACGCCTTGTTCTATAGTGCTGAAAAATGATAGCACAAGTCGAACTTTAGTTTCTTATCCAGAGATTTTCATACATGTGGACAGAAAGTTATAATTGCTATTCTTGCTATTTCTACAAAAAAAGGATAAACGTTTAGAATACTTGAAATAAGCTTTGAGAATATATTTTTTGTAAAAATGGACAACGTAAGCATTTACGATGACATTTTTTCCAACAAACAATTTTATCATGCAGAATCTCACTGATTTTTTTCTGATAATCCTTTGCACTGTGAAAAAACGAAAGCAATTAACTAGTTGTCAATGTAGGACAAGTTAATTTGACTAACTAGTGTTTTTTCAGAATTCTTCTCTTGGCGTGTATCGGAAGTTGCAGATGGTCGCAATTTTTAAAGCACACTTAATATTCTTTAAATCCATAATTTCGAAGTCAATTTCGCCAATCTGATAAAACGAAAGAGACAAGTTCTATTAGAAACCACTGTCAAAATTCTAAAAATATCAAGCTTGGAAGTCGAGCAAAGAAAGGCTACCTTTAGTTTCTTGTCCGTTCAGCGACATCGTACAAACAGAAGGGAATGAGTTCCATTAAAGAAAAATAAATCTTTCAGAAGAATTTAGTTATGAAAAACGTGACGTGATAGCTATCAACGCATAAAAACATTTTTTTTCTAAACACACCTCATAATGTGTTCACCCCATTAAAAGAAAGTTTTTTTTTATACTACCAAGTTTATCATGTGCAAAAATCCTTTAGAAACACTGTGGAACACTCCTGATGATTATGTGAATGCCGATGTCGATCCACTTCAGCCTCATCACAAGAGATATTATCAATCAGATATGAGACTATATCGCTTATAACAAAAAAAACGTTTCGGTTTATTTCTTTATTTAGGTACTTAATCTTTTTTTCTATTATTTTCTCGTTAATTAACCCAAACATGTAGACAAAAAAAAGTTTCCATTTTGTTTTCTGGCACATACATACACATTATTTTTGTTGTTGATCAATTTAAGAATTTCTCTATTTGTCTGTTAACGTACAGTATATTTATTGATATATATATACGAGTATTATTGCCAGTGCTTACAAAGTAAATAAAGCTCTCATTGTCTCATCTTTTAAATAACCGTCGATAAATTCTGATGGTGTTATTGTACCCGATTTGTCCTCGTCAAGCTTCTCCAATACTTGATTTGCATACTCTTTCGAATCAACGCCAACCGCTGCTCGATGATACGATTCTAAACATTTCAATAGTTTATACAATTCATTTCGAGTCACCGACTTATCGCCGTCTCGATCGAGAACACGGTACATAAATTCAGCTTTTTCGATGGGCACATCGCTTTGAAGATATTTGAGAGCATACAAATATTCGAAAAAGTCCATATAACCATTCTCGTCTTGATCAATAGCATTGAATATTGAATCGGTCAAATATTTTGAGCGAGATTTCTTATCGCCAGGCAAATATTCATCAAGTAACTTGTTTAACGACGATTTTTTGAGTTTACCATCTTTGGTAACGGAAAAGAATGTACTATGATAATTGCGAATTTGTTGCTCATTAAAGTGTGTCGTCGTTTTTGCTCGTTGGATCATTTCATTGTTCAGCACAAGATAGTGCTCACCGTGTTTGCGATGAAGAGTGTTACCCATCTGAATGTGAAATGAAAGTTTACCTGTAAATGATCATGTATCGTGCGTTTTTCATTTGATCTTTATATCATTTTATTATTCTCGAATTCTTTTCTCGGTTTTTATTTTTAATATTTGAATAGAACAAGAGCGAAAAAGGAAAAAATGTTACACCTTTTTTTCGTTCTTATTCTTTGGTAATAAGAAAGCATCATCCGCATATTTCGTAATCAGAAACTTTTCAAATTTCCGCAAAGAAAAGCTTGTCTGCTGATTTTCCTTCGATTAATCCGCAATAGACTCATTCGCGCTTTAGAAAAAACAGCAACTTTTATCGAGAAAACTGATGAACTTTTAGCTATCTGATAGTACAAACGAGTTGTTTTGTACTGTTGCGATTCTCAACTCATATAGAAATTTTTAATTTTCTATAGTGTTTCGCAGTGAAACGGTTGGTTCAAGATAAAATTTTTGTAATGTTATTTTCGGGTTTTCTCTAGCCAAAACTGACTTTCTAGAGGAAACTTGATTCGATTTTTAACACGAGCATTCCTCTTTTTATCTACAGTATTCGAAGAAATTCTAATACACTTGGACCTCAGTTTAAACAGGAAGTTGTGAGGTTCAGAATCGTTTTGTATCCAATGGTTAATAGCCAAAGAAGAATGTAACTGTTACACACACTTATTTTAGCAACTTCACAACTATATATAGTATATTTCAACTAAGATCTCTTAGGGAAACTGGGAAGAATACATATTGTACAAGAGCGAGAGATAGAAGAATAGAAATGAAAAATACCCATCGAAGAGTGATCAGAAAGAGAAAACATATATCATGTACAAGCAGAAGAGTGACTACATATAACAGAAGACCAGAAAAGGAAAATAACCATTGAGTGAAGAGACAATGTATATTGAAAGATGACAACTGTTGATATGAGATTTGGTTTATACTTCCTAAAAAAGTGCTCACGTCATTCATAAACGGGTTTAATTGTATTATCTTTTCCTCATTGCGAATTTGACGCGAATGTGTTTCAGGTGTTCTCGCGAGTGACTCATAAAACGCAGTTATCTCTGGTTATTCAACTGATTAAGACTTTACTTTCACTGACATACATCTAACACGTGAAAATTTCGTTGACAAAAACTCATGATCATATTACATACCCGATATCTGTTATGATCGAAAGTTCTTCTTATACACTAACTATTCTTCCATAAAAACTAATCATGGAGTGCGAAGAAATAAGGTTGCTTCTTTGAAAGTATTTTAGCCCTCTATATCCATCAAGAGATTGGGCGAATGAATCACCGAATTCGTTTCTGAAATAATTTTTTAAAGTTAAAGTAGGGACCTAGTAAAAAGAGAAATATCTCTTTTCGTAAATCTACTTTATATAAATCTGATTTCTGCTTTGCTTTTTTCTTCATGCTCGTTTTGTGTTACATGTATGCGGCTAAAACGCGTAACTGTCTGCGGTGGGTGGAGCAATATTTTTTCTCTCAAACTAGCCTTAAAAGCACATTGCTAGACGCAGTTTTTTGTGTTGATTACGAATATCAACTGTAAAACGGACATTTTTAAATCGAAAATTCAAATTTAAAATTTAGACGCTTTCTTATTTCAATTTTCTGACCTACTTAGTATTTTAAAAAATTTCAAAAAGTATATGAGTAGATAAAGAATTAAATTCTCTACGAAATGCGCTATTGATTTTGCCAAAACCACCTTAAAAAACGCATTTTACACGCTAAACAAGTTTTTGCTGGATTTTGCCGAATTTGTAATCCCAAATCTCAAAAGAATGGTTACCCGCATGTGGTTTTGTACATGCGGTTAGAGTTTTTCACCATACACGTAAATATGAAGAAATTTTTGAAGAAACTGATAAATACGTAGAAGAATGAGAAAATAATTTAATTGATAGCGATGATGATGTATTTTGTTGAGCTTTTGAAGGACGATTTTCAACGAACGCCAGAGTTATTCAAGAATAATATAGTCTTACTATGTGTCAGATATCAGCAGAAGTAAAAGAGGTCGAATTCGAAAAAAAAATGTTTTCGACAAAAATTTCCTTGCCCTGAATTTTGCCAAAAAATGTTTTATTTGTAAAACTAGCAAACTATATATCATTCGATGCAGTTTTAGACGCTGATTTCGAATATCGCCTTATGTTTTAATACAAATGATTCTGGACCGAATAAATTGCAAAATACCTCAAGAACCAAGGGTTTTTGGAAAACCTGTAACTCCGTATAGGGAGATTTTGGCATTTTTTGGCATGCACCATAGATGCAGTGCATCAAGGCGTAAAACATTTTGGCGTAAAAATGAGTAAGATTAAACCTCTGCTAAGTCGCGCGTTTCGATTATACTGAGAACATCGTTTTTTCTAGCGTTTTTCTTATATGACCGTCTTTTTTATCGAATATTTCCGTAACGAAAAGTCGTAGAATAAAAATTTTTGCGCCATTCGATAACGCATTTAACGAAGTACTTTTGACTCTATTCAAATCCCAAAACAGCTCACTTTCGATTTTTGGCCAAATGTTCGCCTATATACCCACTGTGCAATAGTTGGAGAACTTAATTTTATCAACACACTAAAACAAACTGCGACTTTTGGACAGAAATGTACGCCGATAAAAAATTTCCGGCGACGGCGAATGAAATTTTTACCATAGGCGGCGGCGCGAGGTTATGAAACTTTCCTCCACCTTCGGTGGCGGCGTCTAAAAATTGGTTATCGACGGCGAACCTCATAATTTGTGTAAAACAACGTTCTCTTTCATTTTTGGCGCGTTCTTCGCGCACCAACTGTATCTGTACGTTGCCGTATACGAAAAGATAGAAACGCGCTACACGCTAGATGCCTAAGGTAAGAACATACTAACAAAAATAGCCAAAATTTTTAGAAAAAAAGTTTCTCCGCCCTCGGCGGCGGAAGTCAGAACAGTTTTTCTCCGCTTTCAGCGGCGGCGAATTGGAGAACCGGCGAGGCGGCGCACATCTCTGCTTTTGGTGACCTTGTTTGGCAATAGTACATCCATTCTAAATCAGCTGCAATGGCTCGTCGTTTGTTTATTTTTAAAAGTGACCTTTTTGGTATTCTTTCCTGGCTACACTCCCGTTTAGGCTCGATGTCCTTTTCTAAAAGATAGATCAGTATCGTGTACAACTGGTGTACTTTAAACTAGTAAAAAAGATGGAAATTGATCTTCTCTAATTAGTGTAATTTTAGTTCGTGAAGTTGGAGCAATACGAAATAAGTTTACAGTGAGCACCCTCCTCCTTGAATATATATAAGATGAACATTTGATGAAAATATCAAATTTGTTACTTTCTGACTTTATTCTTTAAACAGAAAAATGTCTGTTCTTATAAAGATGTCTGTTAAAAAAATGAACACATTGGAAGTATATATATGGCGAAGTATGTATCTACAATATAATCAAGGAACCGAATTATACAAAATAAACTAAATTAGAATTTAAATGTTAACATGTTCCCTAATCAATATAAAGAATTCCTACTTTGGAAAAGTTGAAAAAGCAGAGATAGACTGTGGAAAGTGCTCTTCACAGCACACGGAACACGTTTTCAGCGAATTTTGCATTTTTTAGCGAGAAAATATGTGAATCATCTCTATTATAGTAAAGGAAAACGTGGAAATTTTTATAATTCAGTGAACACTAGTCCGATATGTCTCAAAACTTTTGCACATACGTGACCTGATATGCTCTACGTTTTGATACTATCAAAAATATTTCAGACGAAAGTTCGTAATGGGTTTTAGAGACTGCACTTCAGCTGAGATTTTGGAGCCCGTCTGAGGACTACTACTTTGTATGATCGTACTTAGCGAACTCTATCGAACAGAGTATATCTCATTCGAAACTCCACGTCACTCCACGAAAAAACTCAAGGGCTCTTTGCCTGCTATACAAAGCTATTGAGAGTGTTTTGCATTGCAGTTACCGAAAACACAGAATCGCTTATTTTCGCGATGTTTAAAAAGATGATGATGGCAGGGAGTGTTTGGAGGTACATATATCATACCTAAGTAAAACTATAAAATAAACTGAAACGCTACAGAAAAAACATGAATACAATATTTCAAGAAAAAAATATTTTTACTTTAAACACATACTAGTTCTTCAGCATTCGGACTTTATCCATTCATGTACACGAAAATCTAAAACAAGCAAAATTTTTCAATTACGATTTAACGAAAATGCAAAGAACCCTACCGTTTACTTAAACTACTATTCTCCAACTACGAAGACAAACAGCAGTCACAGTAAAAAACCAAACATGACGTAGCACACATAGGCATGCACCAATCCGATATACAATGACATTTTTGAAGTATTTTTGCTACTAACACCGTTGTTGTGAATGGATTTTCAAAGTTTTTTTTTATTCTCTATCTCAGACCCTAGCCACACTACCATAAAAATTTCGTAACAATATGCCG